AGCCAATTGCTCAGGCGTCTTGTATCTTGTAGCTCTTCTGAGAAGTTTATAATGCAGGAAAATGAATCACTGTGAGCACATTCAGTTAATTGAATTTGCCAGTTACATGTTATTAAGCAGCTAAGACTAGTACAGAACTTATATGCAACTTATCAAGCAACATTGTAGTAAAAAGTTCTTACCATATAGAAATTTCCATCTTAATTCAAAGGTAAACTCATCTGGACAAGAGCCAGATGGATATATTTATGGTAATATAACAGGAAAAAATGAATGGTAGCACAGTGTAACTTTTTGGGTTGAGTTTTGCCAAATTCACATTGAGTCAAGTTTGGAAATTAGAGGCAGGAAGACAGACTATAATTTTAGGAAGAGTCTGTGGGCAAATTAGAGCTAGTACTTCATGTGTAGAAGGAAGAAAGGCCAGGAGATAGGGACAGTGGCTAGAATATGAAAGTGGCCAAGAGTCTTCAGGGTTTTTTTGTTTGTTTTTTCATTTTCTTTTCTTTTTTTTCTGTCGGTTGTGGGGCTTGAACTCTGGGCCTGGGTACTGGCCCTGAGCTCTTCAGCTCAAGGCAAACACTCTACCACTTGAGCCACAGTACTACTTTCAGTTTTCTGGTGGTTAATTGGAGATAAGAGACTCATAGACTTTCCTGCCTGGACTGGCTTTGAACTCTAATCCTCAGATCTCAGCCTCCTGAATAGCTAGGATTATAGGTGTGAGCCACAGGTACCTGGCAGTCTTCAGTTTTTATAGGAAGTACACAAAGTTCTGTGTATTTACTTCTCTATGATTTAGTTGAGGTATTCTGAAAAGAGTTTTCAATTGATTGTTGAGCTCTTCTTCATGAGGAACCCATGGACCTTTATGTCTAACTTGTATTTCCCTGCCTATAGTGTCAACAGACAACCAAGTATCTTAGTGGTATGATTTCAAGAAAAAGAGGGACATTTCTTTTGTATCTATAAGCTTCATTTTTTATTCTTGACATAAAAACTGCCACTTGAAAGCATAAATTAAGATGTGGGGACAGTGGTTCACACCTGTAATCCCAGCTGCTCAGGAGGAAGAAAGCAGAAGAATTATGATTCAGACTGGTTCAGACTAGTCCAGGCAAACACATAAGATTCTATCCAAAATGGATAAATAGATAAATAATAAGAAGAAAAGGCTGGGAGTATGGCTAACATGGCAAGGCAGGTTCTGAGTTCAAACCCCACTACTGTTCCTCCCAAAAAGATAGACTTTTTGTAAGTCCATTGGTGAATTTGGTCAAGCCATTTCTATGGCCACAAAAATGGCTTCCATCTCAGGTAGGTCAGAGGGTTGATTTTTACTTAAGTCTTTCAATCCTTTTGCTCAACATCAACTTTTCTTAACCCTTATTTGTAGAAGAAAATGAGAGTAGCTTATTTGCATAATTACATCCATGGATTAAAAAAGCAGAATGATCTATTCACAGACTGTGTTCTCCTACTTTCCTTGCAGAGATTCTCAACTTAAATCATCTAGGTTTTTACATTTTTTCTGATTTTCAAAAAACATTGATTTCCAAGTTTATGTTCAGCATTGCTGTTCTATGATGAAGCACAGTTTTAGCGAATGTCAGTGTCTCAAAGTGTGTGTGGTGGGGAGGAGTTGGGGAAGTAGATTTGAGAATTGAATTTTTATGAAGATGAATAGGCAAATGGACATGAATCAATATTAAAAATGCTGCCAATGCTGAAATTGTATCAACTACTTTTCTCTTATGAATGCATGTCTTATTTTAATGCCAAGCTCATTCACACTCAGAAGTAAGAATAAAAAGAGTTCACACATGGAAACTATCTACCCTACTGATGGAGTGGAGCAAATGTCCAGATGTTCAGAGAACAGAGAGATCTGCATGGGCAAGTCAGTTCAAAATCATCCACTTTAGCCAGGCACCACTGTAATTTTACCTTATGACCTATCCAAGTGGCTCATAATCATTTTCTTTCAAGGCCTCCTTGTCATTTGACTAAACTTTGTAGATACCCTTTAATTTTCTCCTCACTTATGCCTTGCAGAGTTCCTTGAAAATTTGGCTGGAGCACACGATAGAAGCAGATTCACATTGTCCCAAAATTCCTTTATTATCTTTCTTTCTCTAGTACTACCTTTCTGAAGAATGTAGTGGATACTTCTTTATACCCTGTACCATCTCTCCTTCTCTAGTCATATTCTTTCTTCTCCCTAATTTCTTGCTTCCTATTAAATGTAATTTATCTTTCTTTCAGATCCAAATAAACCTACCTGGGGATACTTGCTTTGATTATTGCCCAACTAGCTGCAAATGTGATTTTGAGAAAGACTTAGGCTTTCATTTGCCAGGTAGCTCTCTCCTGCGAATTCAATAACACAGAGTATAAAATGGGTGGAAATGCCTTAATTTACATGTTGTAATAGTCTGTACTGTGCTAGACTTTTGGAAGGCACAAAGAGTGAAGGTTTAACACTAGCCTTCAAAGAGATTGCAATGTAAATGAGGCACCAATTCAAGCTCTCTACATCCAAAACATATAATACCACCAAATACTACAGACCACCATTGATGCCATGTTACTCATAGTCCACAAGGGCAGACATTTCACATTTCTTTTTTGTTCACTGATGCATCCCAGTGCCTGCAACAGCCCTCAACATAAATTGTAGTTAAGTATTCAGTGATGTGTGGGATGCAGTACAGTCCTCTCTGTAAGGCTATTTTTCCTGTGACAAAGAACACAAGTTATCAGGCAACATGTAGGGAAAGGAAACAAGTATAATGGGGATAGTAGTGTTAATTCATATGCAAGTGTTTCTAGCACTATAATATTCACCATGAAGGGACAGCAACTGCAAAACACAACAGAAGAATTTGCCGCATTGTAGAGAACGTATGGTATTGTGCTGGAGGCCCATTTGCCCTATGTTCTCTATTAGATTAAGTTTGGTGAGGAACTCTAACCCAGAAAGGTTTTAAGGGATGAGGGGAAAGGGCAGAGGGTTCTTTTATTTTGTGTTTATCTTCTCAACTCAATAGCTTCAAACAACTTTCTTTATAATTTCTCCAGCAGTTACCTTTACCTTGTATAAAGGTAAGGTTTTATTTTATTTTATTTTTGCTGGTTGTGGGGCTTGAACTCTTGGACTGGGCGCTGTCCCTCAGCTCTTCAGCTCAAGGCAAGTGCTCTACCACTTGAGCCACAGCTCCACTTCCTAAGGTTTTAATTTTTACTGTAATATTTATTAGGAACTTAATGTGACTCATAATCTCTGCCAGTATGTTTGTTTTGGAATGGGTGGCTGTTTTTATCCGTGTTCTAGCTGCAATCTTTGAGTTACATATCCTGAACCCCTATTTCCTCCATACACCCTGTTTATTCTCTTTGTGTTTTCTCCAAATGGTAAGAACAGGTATGTCTTCTTAAAGTAGGGATGTGGACGTTCAAGCTTTGTGGTCAATGAAGTAGGATTTGGCCAGGAGAGAAGATGTTTTAGAAAGATCATCAGATACTTCAGCATGGATAGATATAGGCATGAGGAGCAGGGGAGGAACCCATCTGGACAGTGCCAGGCTCTGAGGATGAATTTGAGGTTTAAAGGAACTCAGAATTTTCTCTGGTAAAACACTTCAGTGTTTCTGGGGCAGGCAGTGGCCTGGAAAATGGTGGTCTAGAACCAAACACCTGCAGGTTTGTGCTGGAGGGATGCAAAGGGCAGATAGAGTCAGACTAGGTAACCAGGAAGGGGCCTCTGGAGCTTACAAATAATCACCACGCAAATACCAAGAAGGTGACAAGAACTTGGAAAGGGTGGGGCAAGTGAAAAGACAGTGAAGAAACGGGAAAGTGAAGAAAGCTGCTACTGTCAGAAGAAGATTGGTGCTCAAAACTGGTATTTCTCCCCCCCCCCCCCCCCCCCCCCCCCCGCCGGCCTGGGATTCCCAGGTCTCTGATCTGGTCCCCTGTCATGGTGGATGGAGGTATCCTAGACGACAGGCTGAGAAGGTGAAGGACAAGAACAAGTTTTGACAAGAAAAAGATGAAGAAGGGTTAGCTTGGCTGCGTGCCCCTCGCCAAGGTTTCAGCCACAAGGAACACTGGCACTAACTCGCCCCCGCCCGGCTCGGGGTGGGGGGACGGAAGTTAGTGGGTCTTCTCTCTGGATGAAGATGTCTTTTCAGACAGGCTAAAGCGCCTGGGTTCTGAGTGCCAGGGAGGAAGTTTCGGGATCCCAAGCATCCCATCTAGGAATATTCTTTGTGACTCTTGGCACCTCGTTTCCTAGAGGAAGCTACAGCCCGGAGCGTCCTCTGCAGGACAGGCCGGCCGGCGGGGGGTCCAGGCACCCAGCCCGCTCCCTGGCCCTGGGACCCGGGGGCCCTGGGGCCCACGTTCGTCCCTCTCCAGCCCAAGTCTGGGGGTGCACTGCTCGGGTCACCACGTTACCCCGGGTCCGCTGGCCTCTCACTCGCGGCCGCCTCCCAGGCGAGTTTCTCGAAACTGACCCCCCCGGGAGGGTCCCAGGAGCGGTTCAGGGGGTCCCGACAGGACCCCAGGGGACGCCGCCACCGCCCGGAGGGCCCCGCCACCCGCTCCCAGGGCCCCCAGCCCCGTCGTGGGGATCCCCGGGCGCGACACTCTCCGGGACCCCGCAGGACACTCCCCTCCGGAGGCTGGGCCTCGCCCGCCCCCGCCCCGCCCCGCGCCGCGCCAGGGGAGCCCCGGGCCCGACCCCTCCCCCCGGACGCCGGCCCAGCGAGCGGGACGCAGGCGGGGATGGTGACCGGGCAGCGGCGCGGGGCCGGGGCTGCGGGGCTCGGCCGCCTCTCTCTGTCGCTGTCCCCGCCCCTCCTCCTCCGGGCCGTCCGCCCCCTCCCCGAGTGCTAGAGCCCGGCGGCCCGGCGCCCCCGCCTTCCGCTCTCCGCCGACCCTCCCCTGCGCCCCCTCCTCCGCCCCTCCCGTCCCCTCCCCCGAGCGGCCCGCCGGGGCTGGGCTGAGGTGGCGGCCGAGAGGCGGCACGGAAAGCCCCGGCTTGGGGACGGCTGCGGACTCGGAGGGAGCCGAGCCGGGTGAGTTGGCCACGCGGGGCCCAGCGCGCGGCGCGCGGGGAGAGCCGGCAGCCCGGCCAGGTGGGCGCCCGCAGCCCGCGGCAGGCACGGGGTCGGGGCCCGGACGGGCGTTGGGTGCGGGGATGGGAAGGGAGCGGGACGGCCGCTCCTCTCCACGCCGCCGCCGCCGGCCGCAGAAGTGGAAGAAGTTGTGTCTGGAGCGGCGGCGGCGGCGTCCCCGCCGCCCGGGGCGGGCTTCGGCCGGCCGGCGGCGCGCGGGTCCCGGGCGCAGCTCGGCTCCGGGCCGGGAGCGCCTGGCTGCTCGCCCGCTGGCCGCCGCGACGTCGTCCCCGCCCGGCCTGGTCTGTGGCGGGTGGGTCGCTTGGACCACAGACGTCAGCTGCATCCCAGATCTGGCTGCATTTTTGTGGCAGTGCCGTGGTTTGGGGTGCAGGCTGGAGGAGGTGGGCGGGGTGGGGGGGACCACATCTGGACTGGGTGGGCCGGTCCTCAGGATGGGTGAAGGACTGGAGACCTTTTACGCACAGGTTTTTGTTTGTTTCTTTGGTCTTTCCCTTTCATTCAGCGGCCCAGCGTTCTTTGAACTGAGGAAAGCAGAAAGGATTTTCTTCCACCCGGCTCAGCTTTCCTGGAGGGTCGTGGGTTCTGTGAAAGTCCGTGAGCTCTTTCAGTGGGAGAAAAAAGAAAAGACCAACTTTTGTCTCTCACTCCCACCCGGGCCACTTCCTGTCTTCCCCATTTTTCTCTTGCGGTGATTGTGTGTGTGTGTGTGTGTGTGTGTGTGTGTGTGTGTGTGTATGAGGGGGGGAGGAAGGGAGAGAGAGAGAGACAGTGTGAGGAGCTAGGTTATCTTCAGTGGGCTCCTTTGGCAAAGTAGCCCCACAGCAGACAAGTGTGTGTTAGAGCCAGTGGGCAGAAAGGTGTTTATAATCTGCCTTTCTCACTGTCTCGAACTTCACCCTAACCAGGTATAAGAAAGGATCCAAAGTTGCTTATTCTTTCCACCCATTTCTGTTTTTGAAAACTACTTAAGAAATTTTTTTTTAGAGATAACATGTGCTAGTGGGGAGAGTAACTGTTTTAAAGACAGGGAGAACATTTTAAGATCTCCTCTCCCTCCTTCCCTCCCTCCCCCCCCCCCCCCCCATCAGGTAGTGGTGGTAGGTTTGTGATTATGCTGGAAATGTGATTCTGATAACATAGTATTTGAAGGTTTGATGTACTACTTGGTTAAATAAAGCATTATCTTATAATTGTATTTTCTCCCCATAGTCACACCGAACACACAGCATGGCTTCTTGAGGTTTGCAGCAATATAGCAAATATTTTATGCCAAGAAAGATGTTAGGAGTTGTAGGAGAGCCTGGTGGGAGGGGGACTCATTTGTCTTAGGAGCAGATTAATTATAAAGAGTAATTACACTGCAAATGAGTATTCCTGAATATAATTTGAGTCATGATAGGTGAAACAGACAATGATCCATATGAGTAGGAAGGGTCCTTGTAGATGAGAGCAAGTCATGTCTTCCAGAAAAGGTAATACATTGTATTTATCATGGGGATGGTTCAGAACTGAGGGTACCTAAGACTGGGAACTTTAATTCCAGAACTGGTACTGGAGGCAGGGCAAGGTAAGGAAAAAAAAAAAAATCCATACTAGATGATAAAAAGAACGGCATTCTGAAAACTGTATGTGTATTTTAATGAAAATTAAATTCAGCTTCTGAGCTTCTCTACTGCATGTAATTGGCAAAATATGAGACCACAATTTAGGCGACTCAGAATCAGTCTGACATTCTCAGATGAGCCACATACTACCTTATTTAATTTTAGCCTCACTCTAAAATGGTGGTGATAACAGTTCAAGTCAAAGAATCAGTTTGACCAGTTAAGTTCGTATAGAGCTTAGGCTGGCTTCTTACATAAGTGCTACAAAATGAACAACGATCAGCAATATTTCAAGGCCCTGGGCCAAAGGAGGAATGATTGCAAGGATACCTAATTTTCAAATGAGCAACTCTAATTAAGGCTGAACCCATGACTTTGCCAGGCCACACCCAGAAACACCTGTTCTTTCTAGAACTTCAGGCTTTTCTAGGCTTTCTTTTCCAAGGAATGCTTGTTGCATTGTAGGCATGCTGTTAGGCTTGTTGGCCACAATTCCTTTTAGTATGGTACATAACAAGGTGGATGCTCTTATTGTAGAGAGATAGCAAGAAATTCTGAGTTTACTTGAAATGAAAACTGAACTTGAAACTTCCAGGGAAAGATGTCCAACCTAAAAGTGGATACAGGCAGGAACAGTGGCTGGAGCTAGAGATGGATGATGAAAGTTCGTTCCAAAGCAGGAACAGGTGGTCTCAAAGAGTCCTCTACCCACCTAGTGGGTAGAGGGTTTCTGAATAGTGCAGCAAGTGAGGGTAATTTGTATCATTGGGACTGAAATTTTCAAAATTTTGTCATCCTTTCAACAGTCCTGCATGGGGATAGTTAAACCCCTGATCTTGGTCTTAAATGAGCAGGCTTATTCTGGTGTTATTTGTGTAGATTTGGCAGATCTGCTTCTGTAAATTTGAACTTACAGTTTAAAAGGATGTATACAGCCAGGCACTGGTGGCTCATGCTTGTAATCCTAGTTGCTCAGGAGACTGAGATCTGAGGATTGCAGTTCAAAGCCATTTTCACAGGAAAGTCTGTGAGGCCCTTTATCTTCAATTAACCATACAAAAAGCTGGAAGTGAAATTGTGGCTCAGGTGGGTAGAGCACTAGCCTTGAGTAAAAAAAGCTAAGCCCAGCTTGGCTTTTTGTTTTTTTTTTGTTTTTGGTTCTACTACTGGTGCACCCACACAGAAGATGTACACAGAATGGTTTTGAGTATTTGATTGTTAGGATGTGTGATTATAGTGATGCCTTACACATGTGTTATAGTCCAAATGTTATGTTTCCAGATTTGGGCATTGAAGTCAGGACTTCTCTGTGCACTAGTATTTGGAAATTGGGCCTTTGAAAGATGTTTAGGTGTAGATGAGATCCTGAGGGTGGGATTCCCATGAGGAAGTTAGGATCCTAATGAAAAAAGGGACCAAGCTTTCTCTCTCCCAGCCCTGAGGACACAGAGAGGAGGAGCTTGTCAGGAAGAATGCCCTCACCTGCATCCAAACCTGTGGGTGCTTGGTCATTAACTTTGTAACCTCCCAACTGTGAGAAGTAAATATGTGCTTGTTTGTTAAGCCACAGATTGGTGGTATTTGTTATAGAGTGCACTAGTAGCCTAATATACATGCATTACGTTGAATAACTATTGGAAAGACCTTCATGTGAAAAAGATGTATACAAGTTTTTTTTGTTTTTTGTTTTGTTTTTTTTTTTGGTGCTTGTGGGGCTTGAACTCTGGACCTGGGCTCTGTCCCTTAGCTCTTCAGCTTAAGGTTAGCACTCTACCACTTGAGCCACAGCGCCACTTCTGGTTTTCTGAGTGGTTTATTTGAGATAAGAGTCTCATGGACTTTCCTGCCCAAGCTGGCTTTGAAACGTGATCCTCAGATCTCAGCCTCCTGAGTAGCTAGGATTATAGGCGTGAGCCATGGGCACTCAGCCTATATATAAGTTTTGTATGCAGCAGTACAATACCAAATCAGCCTGTATACAAGTTTTGTATGCAGCAGTACAATACCAAATGCACTTTAAGAAGTATGTTATCTGAAAATTTTCTTGGTTTAACCTTAATACTATCAACTAGGTCATGAGATGTACCCAACTGTGACCTTGAGATTTTATAGATCAGAAAGGAGTACCTCATTGTACTTTGACTTTTGCCTTTGGTGGGTTTGTTCTGATTTTGGTTTAACATCACAGTTTCTTGATTAAGTAGTTTTTTTTTTTAATTTTAATTTTTTGTGAACATACTCTACAGAGGGGTTACAATTACATGGGCAGGATAATGCGTACATTTCTTATCAAGCATTGCAGCCTCCTCCTTTGTTTATCCTTCACATCCCTTCCCAGCCTCCCCCCCAATCTTCCTCCCTCCCCTCCCCCCGCCAATGTTGTTTAAGTAGTTTTTATATGTACTTTTTTTTTTTTTTCCAGTCCTGGGGTTTAAACTCAGGGCCTAGGCACTGTCCCTGAGTTTCTTTTGCTGAAGACTAGTACTTTACCACTTGAGTCACAGCGCCACTTCTGGCCTTTTTTGTTTATGTGATACTGAGGAATCAAACCCAGGGCTTCATAAATGCTAGCAAGCACTCTACTACTAAGCCACATTCCAGCCCTTGCAGGCACATTTTTTTTTTTTCAAATTTAAGACTTCAGAGTTGTTATTTGGGAGTGAAACTTTTTATACTTAACTGAAGTAACAAAACTACAATAATAAATTTTAAATCTTAACATACAACTTAAATCTAAAATAATAGACACTGACTTTTGTACCTGGTTGCAGTCTTTGAATGAAGAATATTTGGTATTTCAGCAGATTCATGAGGAACGATGTCTTAACATTGTTAGAGGAGACATTAGAAACCAGTCTTTCCTTGTGCGATCATTACAAAGGAAGATTGAAGAAGGCACTAGGTTGTCTGACTTTTGCTGTACAAAAATGTTTATGTGTTTGTGTGTAGATATGTTGTGTGTATGTATATATGTATGATTTGTAGCCCAGGCTGATAGGTGAAACCAAGGTATTGAGTGTTAAAGTCTTATTAAACACCCTCTGTTTGTGGATTGACTCTGGTTCTAGATGATTGCTGATGGGTAACTGCTTCGTCTGTACGCTGATCCCAGGTGTTCATTACCATGTGCTGTGCACACTCAGTCTCACCAACATCTATTTCCCTACCTTATGCAGTGTATCTTTGTATTAGGAGGACAACCGTTTCCATTTTCCAGAAGTGAAGCTTTAAAAAAAATGTTATTAAGATACAGTGGGGTTACCATTTCATAAGTCACATAATGAATACGTTTCTTTTTGGAGACTATTACTCCCTTCCTTTGTTTTTCTCCAGTCTTTCTTCCCTCCCGTCCTTGCCCACAAGTTGCATAGTTCATTTTCCACATAGTGTCTGCTGAGTACTGTGACTGCATTTGTAAAATCAAGCTTTTTTACCTCCTCATTTTGAGACTCTTCACTAGTCGTGGAGGGCTATTGCTATTAATTTGCATTTCATTTGTGGAATAATTGAAATTGTGCCAAGTAGACCCCAACGAATGCTCATTGTATTACAGGCATGCTGTTAGACTTGTGGGCCACCACTGCTTTTACTGTGGTGGATTCAGGGTAATTCCAGTGGGGATGACTAATCATTGTCAGCCTGCATGCTCAGCAAGGGCACTTCATCTCACCCTGGTTTGCTCAACTGCATTAGAAGAACAGAGGCTAAAGTTTCAACTAATTATCTTAGACTAGTGAGGTTGTGAGGTAGTGACTAGTGAGTAATTTTATTTTTCAAGTTCTCTATAAGTGGCATGCTACTTTGTAAATCAAAATGAAAGAGTTGGTAGGTTCTCTTTTTTAAAAATATCACTGATTTTTGTCACAACACAGGGAGTCTCTACATCTGTGGTGGGTCCACTCTAAGTCTGTGTCACTGAACAGAATGGAAATTCTTACCCATTGTAAATTAGTTGCAAAAGCTGAAAGGCTTCAGGATTGAGTGCAAGCAGGACTGGGTGCTGTGACTCCAAAGTCTGAAGGGGATAACTTCCCTTCAAACAGGAGGGAAGGCCCTACTCCTCATAATGGCTGTTTCCATCAACAGTGTAAATGTGATTTGAGAGATGTTTCTATAGAATTGCTGAGAAGCATTGAATTAAATAAGCACTATTCTGGCATGTTAGTTTTTTTCTTTCTGTTTCAGTGTTCCATAGAATCTAAACTAGCAGTGTGATGTGAAATCTTCTTAGTAACAACCTCCCACATGCCTGGAAAACGCAGAGGGGCTCCTTTTCCTCTGCAGATTCTATTGTTCAACATTTTCTTTCTTTCAGGCCAAGCTGTGTTGTCAGGGGCACCTGGAGTTCAAGCTTCCTTTCTCCTGGGCAAGCTTCAGGCTGCACATGTTGTTTTCTAGTTTTGAGGCATTTAGCCAGTTGTTTAAGGAAGGCTCTAACTGTACTGAAAGTAGTGTCATTCAATATTCAGATAAGTGGCAGATACCACACACTTCTTAAATACAAAATAACTTCTTAAAAAACCAGCTTTGTTTCACTTGCCCACAGCAAACACATTTCCTGAAATGAAAAATAATAGACTAGTTAGTAGGAATTACAACTTATCAGTTTTGTATTTACAAATCACTGCTATCTGTATATTAAATTTAAAAAGCATAGCTTACAACTTAAAAAATAATCTAGAATCACATTCTTATTACTTAAACAGCCAGCTGTTCAATCCTGGAAGATGATTCTACCTAGTAGGGTATGTCTACACAAATATTCCTGCATTTGCTGTCACAGTCATCCTTCTGGGGTCCTCCAGAGGGGAAGCTGTAATTCTTGTTTTGCATGGATTCGTGCTGTATGTAATAGGGAACATGACATCAGACTTAATCGGGACTCTGAGTTAGTATTGATCTGAATCCTTTTGATAGCGGATGTGCTTATGTTATCTTGACTGTAAAGGTTTCCCCCTAGCTTGTGCTTGTATGCAAAGAAAAGATTCAAAAGGAGTGAAACTGATACATGTGTGAATGTTTAAATTGTACTGAGATGCCAAAAAGAGCTGGAGCCAGGTATACTAAAGAGGCCACACTAGGTAGATAAGAAGGCAAGTTGTGGTAAAGGAAAAAAGTGATGGGTTGTGCAAACACCTGTGTGGCCAGGTGGTTGGCGCTGTTGAGGATAATCTGATCAGCCCTACTGTTGATCATGGGTCTGCAGTTCCTCTTACCTGGAAAATAGAGTCTTGGGTCCTAAGAGTATGCTATTGTGGCATCCTAACAGCCATTGTGGTCAACAAAACTTTCATGGTTGAAAACATTAAGACTTAAAAAAATAAAGAATCATAGGGAAATGCGTGAAAAAATACAACAGAGAGGTCCATCAGCTGAACTGGACATTGATGAAAGTGAACTAAGCAACTTAAGGGCAGCTATGGGAGGGAGAGAATGAGAGAGAAAGAGGGAACAGCTTACACTAAACAAAAGGAAAGAAATGTACATATCACCTGATTTGGAGGAAATAGTTGTATTGTCAAAGTTCATAAGCTTTATAGACCATGATAATGACAATTCGCCTTCTGAAGGTAAAATACGTTTCTGACTTTAGCTAAGTATCACAATATTGTGAAATTTATGTGATCACTTAATCTCAATAAAGAAATAAATAAAAACCACCATCAAGTTAAATTTACTCTAGCTTCGATCTAGCAGGATTTTTTAAAATCTTGCCCATGGGACTTCCCATTTCTTCGTGTAAAATTTCAGCTTATTTCTGGCACAAGTTCATCCAGGTAATTTCAAGTCTGACTTGGACATCTGTCCTGTCAGCCTTCCTTCTGAGCTTTCTGCTCATTGGCCATCATGGGTCCTTTGAGTCCTTCACTGGAGCTGCTCTTCTGGGACTCTCCTTGTCATTCCCCCCAAAGTACTCTTAGTAACCAAAGGTCTCAGTTGTCTTCCAGAGAGTAGAGAGCTGGAGTTTGTGCCAAGAATACAGAGGAAGCTAATCATACCCATGACCCCGACCTCATTAACATTGTGCTGGAACCAAAAGAATCAGCATTCCATGGCATTGTTTGACTTTGGATTGTCCCTACTGATTTACGGTCACAGGGTCCGTATTCTGGCCTTCAAAGGGAGGCAGATTTAAGAGCTAGATGAAAATGGGAAAGGCAATTGGTACTTCCTGCCTCCTTTTAGCACTTAACAGTTGGGCTTTGTATTGTCAGCTAATCACTGAGCCCTGCCAGTGGTGGTTTGGGTCAAAACAAACCAGAACTGACAAGGCTGATTCAGTAAAGAGAATGAGGGAGGCCTCAGAGTGTAAAGAGGAAGAGTCTCACATTGGTGCTCCCCTGCCTGCAGGCAAGGATTCTCAGACCTGAAGGTGTACAACATCCCGTGAGTCTGTTCAAATGTAGCCTCTTGACTCAGTAGGACTGGTGGGGCCTGAGATTTTGCATTAGTAAGGAACATTTCCAGTAACATTAGTTCTGTGGAGCACACTATAAGGATCAAGTCCTCTTGGGAGGGTAGAGAGGAGGGTGAGACTCAGCCAGGTGGAAGCTGAGACCTGTAAAGTCTGAACCTTGTCTACCAGCAGCCTGTGGAGGCCAGTTGGGCCTCTGGCCTCTAACTGAGTGGCTGTGTGGCAATTCCTATTAAGTCCTTTGGAGAGGGAGGTTATAGGCCTTTTATATTATAATATGGTTAAGTTATAAGGGAAGACTTTTTTTCTTGCTAAGTTTTATGTAAGTTGATTTCCTCATTGTATCTTGGTTATACTCTATGAGTTAAACTAGACAAAAACAGCTCTAACTTTTTCAACTAAAGCTGTATTTTCCCACATACCCTGTAACTCTGAAGTTTTGTGCTTTACAAAAAATTTTAAGTTACTTATTTTTTCATTTGAAGGATTATTCTAAAACTTGCTTAACACTGCTGGGTGCTGGCTACATATTTGCATTCCTAAGTGCTCTCTTGAGGCTCTGACCTAGTAATCCATACTTTTATAAAGCAACTTCTAGGTGATTTTTATGGTCAGGCAGATTCTAGAAATACCAGGTTAGAAAAATGACATCATGGAATCTGCTCTGATGCTTATAGTGGTAAGGCTGGCGACTACCTTCACCTGTTTGCCACTTGGAAAGTTGGTTGTGATGGAATAGCTTTGTTTCTGTGTATCTAATCATTTTTATCTTGACATGCTTTTGTTCTCATAAGAGACTCTTGGATGGAACCACAAAAGGGAGTCCTTTGTCAGCAGAGTAGAAGTCAGTTCCTGAGGGCTTTATTTTTAGGAAAGTTTTGCAGACACTGATTACTAAGTGCTTCAGGGCAATCTTGGAGTTACTGGAGTGAAAGCCTGTGCCTCTGCAGAGAAGTCTTTAAGAATGTCTCAGTACTGACTCCTCCCCATTTCCCTGTTTTGGTTCAGACCCTGGAGATTATGAGTATGTGACATAATGCATGACCAGAAATGGATGTGGAAGGGCCCCCATCCTCCCGGGACTAGCTTGGTTCTATCTAAGTGAATTGGGCTATAATGGTGGCAGATTTGCCCACCATTGTATCAGCACTAAGCTCTAGTTGTACCGATGCAAGATCCATCTCAGCCTCACCCTAGGGGCTAAGACAGCTTACAAAATGGTTCAGCAGAAAGTGTGGATACCACAGGCACACATGGGCAAGGAGGGTAGGCCTGTGAGCTGCCTACTACAAAGACAGGGAAGCAACTGGGGTTTCAGCACTCAATATGCCCTGGGAGCCTTCACTGCCATAGTACTACCAGGAGTTCCATGGCTTGTTGTGCTTTCCTGCAGTTCAGCAACCTGTGTGGCTCTGACATGAAGGGCAGACCCTGGAAGTGCTGTGGGTGTATCTATGCATGTTCTTGTTGATCTGCGTGCTGTTTTAATGCTTTGGACTCCATTTCTCATCTTTTGTACAAGAAGAGAAAAGGTTTTAGAAACATAAACAAGAATGTCAGAATTTTCTTGCACAGAGGGATGCTTTTTCTAGGAGGAAAATAGAGAAGTTCAAAGAGAGAAAGTGGGTGGGTATACTGGACTTGTCTCATGAATTTTGGCTTCAGCCTCATTGTCTTTGTACCACAGGATTTGTTCCACTCCTCAGAAAGAAATTTGACCCTCTGATAAAACCAGGTAGAGCTTTCTAGGATGGCTTCACTGTTTCATTCCCCAAGTAGTCAGATTCTGTATGTAGGTGGGAAGAACAACATCTAGGAAGAGAAGCAGTGTCCACATTGTTTGAGGATGGAGTGAGTTTTTCTAACCCATTGTTCTGCAGTGTTAGGAACTATTCTAGGCTTCCACAAAACCTGCTTTGTGTATTTTGTTTTAATCAAGAATGAGCTTCAAAGGCCTGTTAGAATATAAGTCCTTGAGCACAAGGTCTTTGTTGGTTATAGTCTAGGTCAACTCTAGAGCCTGTATTGGCCTTAACATAATGTCTCCCCCTTTCCTAAAATAGTTGCAAGGCCTTTTGTCATCTGAAATACTCCAGTGGTCACCAATACTTTTTATTTGTGATTCACTATGTATTAATATCAGGACATCCCATTTTACTCTTTTTTATACTAGCATGCTCTTTGCTTATCCACTAGTCTTGTAGACTTTGTGTCTTAGCTCAGCGTACCTCTCACTTGCTCTGGGAAGTTTCCTTTGACGACTTTGGAATAATCTGGTGCCTCTGTATCCTGGTTACCTCATCTCTGGTCACCTTGTGTTCTCTGTCTTAGGTGCTTATAAGCTGTGTCAAAGTCATGATTGTTACCTGTTCATTTCTCTGTCCTTGTTGACTGTAAGCTCCCTGAGAACAGGAAACCCAACATATGCTTCCTCATGTGTCTCGTATCTGGCATATGGAATATATGAGGTGGGTATTGAGAGGCATAGGTGAGATGAGCACCTGATATATAGTTATCCTGCCACTGAGCTAAAACCAGCACTCTCACGTTCGTCTGTTTGATTCAAACCCTTGACCAGATAATGATGGCCATGTTTTCTGCTCAGAAACCAAGGAGCCGTAGGGCCATGGACTAGCTTTGTACTGGGACCATGAAGATGGGCTACTCCATGTTAACAGAGATGACTTTTTCCTATTTTTCAGGGAAGCAGACTCTTGAGTTTGCAGCTGGCCTATAGTTTCTGTAATCCTTTAAGAAGCACTTCTTACAGGTAAGTGGTTGGTAGATTGTACCAGTGATGCCTATGTAGATTATACCAGAATGATCACAGTATTCCCTGTACCACTTGAAGTTCTTATTCTGTGGAAATAAAAATAAATGTAGGGTAGTATTTTATCAAGAAAGTGAAAAATGGTTTCCTGCCCCTGTTGTGAGTTAACTGGTGAAGGTGTTTATCTGACTGGCTGTTTTGGTTTGAATATGTAATGGCCAATGCAGGCCCAGGTATTGAACTTTTGGTCCCCAGTTCTCTAGCTTTTTGGGTTCTGGAAACTACAGGAGGTGGGACCTGGCTGGAGGGAGTAGGTCACTGGGGACATGTTCTTGAGGGTTGTATCTGGCCCTGGACTCTTCCTGTATCCTTTCTCTTGGCATCCTCCCTGACATAAGGCAAACATTCTCCTCTTCTCTGTGTTCCCACTGTTATGATGTTCTGTCCATAGGCCCAGAATCTAGATAATCAAGGACTATATGGATTGAAATATCTAAAATTATGGGTCAAAATAAAATTTTCCTCGTTAAGTTGTTTCTGTCAGGTATTTGGTCATGGTGAGGAATTAATATGGCATTAGTTTTCCTGGTGTTCTCCTGGGCATTGCTGGTCTTCTCATCACTGACATTCTTTCCTCTCTTTAGGCTCATGTTTTAGAATTCTTTTTCCTCATTTAAGATCCAACCAACATTTCACCTTTTATTTATCAAATATGTGAATGAGAAACCCTTTGGACTGTTGTTCAGCAGAACAAACTAGTTTCTCTTTGCCCACGTGACATGATATTCTTGTCATAGTAAGTCTAACTTCCTTGTGTGTGCCCATCTTTTTCTGCTAGTCTACGGATTTGCTTTTGCTATCATCTCATACTTAATATGGTTTTTGACATGAAGCAGGTTTTCAATAGATGAGTGAAGTTAGTCTGAGGAGAAAGAATGGCTTACCAAAACTGAACTAAAACATAGCATGTATACATACATCATAATATATTTCTAGACCAAATATATGATTTGTCAAGTGCTTTATAGGTTAATTACTTGCTCTTTGTTCATATTACTACACATAGTTGAAAACTTACCATAATATCTTTGAGAGTTTTTGTTTCATTGTGTACTTCTTGACTAGTCACTGAACCGTGATATGCCAAATGGCTATTGTGTGGCCATAAAGAGCCAGTCCTTTTGGTTGCTCTTGGAGAGACAATGTCAACCAGAACTGGGAAGCTCCTGTCAGCCCTTGCCGTTGCTATGTAGACCGCCTCAAGATTGAATATGTACCTAAATACACAGGCAGCAAGGGAGCAAGCAATAGATTTCCTAGTTTCCTACAGAAAGTAAAAATGTTTCTTGGTGTCTTAAGCATTTCTTTTAAAAAATAGTTTAGAAATTTAAAGAATTGTAGTAAAGGCCGGCCGCCGGTGGCCTAGACCTGTAATCCTAGCTACTCAGGAGGCTGAGATCTGAGGTTCGCGGTTCAAAGCCAGCCTGGGCAGCAAACTCCGTGAGACTCTTATCTCCAATAAACCACTAGAAAACCGGAAGTGGCGCTGTGGCTCAAGCGGTGGAGCGCTCGCCTTGAGCTGAAGAGCTGAGGGACAGCGCTCAGGCCCAGAGTTCAAGCCCCACGACTGACCAAAAAAAAAAAAAAGAATTGTAGTAAAGGACTCTAGGTCTGTGCATTAGTTTGCTTCTGAGTGTGTTGGCTTGAGTTATTGCTTTGTCTTGTGGATTTGGAGTTAATACCTCCCAGGACAGTATGAATGGTATAGTCAGAATGGGACCAGGGTCCTTTTAGGAGTTGGTTGAATTCACTAAAGTTTAAGTGATGCTTAACTCTAACCAAAGAATATTTTTATATAGGAAAATGTGTCCTTGAGGTTTTGTACCCATTACCTGATTTTCACTGGCCCAACTGCAATAGAATGAGTCATTGTCAGGTATTTCCAGTTGCTTTGCTGGATGCATGCTGTGCCTAAATAAAGAGAAATGAGTTCTCTTTTCACTTCTGTTCTCCATTATCAGTACAGGTATCCAGCCCTGCCAGAGTAGTCATGTACTCAGAGCATCTTCCTCTGGTGAAGTCCCTGCTGTATAGCTAGCGGCCTGAAAGAATGTAGTAAAAAACAAGGCAGTAACAGAAATTTGACTCCCAGTTGACCCTTTTCATGGTCTTGGGAACAATATAGTATAGCTCAGCTCAGGGATTTCCAGCCTCATGGAATCAAGTTGTCTGCCATATTTAAAAAATAAGCCCTGAATAAAAATTGAATTATAAAGGTCCCAGATGTTAAAATGTGAGTAGGCTGTAGCCTTCTTTGGAATTTGAGATATAGTTGAATATTTGGTCCACACCATCTCTGGAGTATATTTGTGGTGTCTGGTTTCCACCCTGCCTGTCTCATGGGGAGTGCTAACCAATTCAGAATGAATAATGAGCTGCTAGATCTGCCTAGAGTGTACAGTATAGAAACAAAAAGGTAGTGAGGATCTCAAGCAACTCAGCCCTCTTCTCACAGGGCTCACACTGGTATATGCAGAGACACATCACAGAGCCATAGTTGAATCTTGATTATCCCACATCTTCCTGATTAGAAAGTCTGAGAATTTCCTTAGAGCTTCTGAATTTGTAGAATGTAGTACAGTGCTATTATTTCAATCATTGAAACATTTATAATTTCTAAAGATTCAACTGTTTCAGCAATTGAATTTATAGATCAGGGTTAGTTTGTTTTAGATATAGCTATTTTGGTGCTAGAATTCAAAGATATTTACTCAGTTTGGGCCACTTGTATGCAAGGTAGACAATTTGGAGCAATCTGAGCAATGACAAGACAGTAACCTAGTCTACTGGTCTTGGACTGCAGTGCTATTAGCATGATAGTCTCTGATTAACAATATTGTTGTTCTTGTTGTTGTTTTTATGCCAGACATGGGGCTTGAACACAGGGCCTGGCCATTGTCTCTAAGCTTCTTTTGCTCAAGGCTAGTCACTTCCAGATTTTTCTGTTTATGTGTACTGCCAGATTTTTCTGTTTATGTGGTACTGAGGAATTGAACCTTGGGCTTCATGCATGCTAGGCAAGCACTCTACCACTAAGCCACATTCCCAGCTCCCAACAATGTTGTTTATTGTTGAAATGCCTGTGAGTAGGTACCAGTGAATGAAGGAACAAGTAGCATCTCTTCCCCCAACAAGGCTTCTTCATTTTTTTTTTCAGTTTTGTGCCTTCAGATAAAGCTTACTATTCAGTTATAGTTTCTTAATGAGGAAGCAAATAGCCTTTCAAGTTTCAATGCAGAACTGGCTCACTGATAGACATCTCTGGGAAGGATTTGCTACTCTATTTCTAGATCACAATCAATGCATAATTTAGGAATCACTTTTTACTTGGATCAGGTAGCTTGTCAGTTATAATTTGTTGGCTAGTTTGTTTTGTCCACTTTAGGGATTTTGTTGTTGATCTGAAAGACTTACAGATCCTTCCAGGAAAAGTTGATTTTCAGGGCAAGGTCTTAGAATTTTTGCCTTAAAAAAAAAAGATATTGTTTTAATCACTTTTCTGACATGGCCTCTTCCAATTAAGAAATGACTTTTCTCTGTTCTTTTTTAAGGATAAATTTTAGCTGGTTTCTTTTCCCTGTAGGGCATTCTCCTATGGAGCAATTTCTGAGGGCCTGGTGGTCTCTCTAGTTCTTTGTTTAGATCAGAGAAGCTGTGGTTGGTTGCTCAGCTTGTCTTACCTCTACTTCATTTCCTGATGGGATGTTCTGGTGCCTACCTCCTACATTTTTTCTGAATTCAGCTAGAAAGCCCGTTTTTCTTTGTGGATGCAATCTGAAAAAACCAACAGGGAATCTCCCACCGCAGCCCAGCAGGCTGGGGAAAATAGTTCTCAGTCACCTTGTTCCTGAGTTCAAAGTGCACTTCACATTTTATGGGGGTGACCAGCTCTCCCAAGGTGCTGGTTTGAGTGGGCCTGCGTTGTAGTTTGGTGGACAATTAACCACGCTGACTGCCTCCTTTTCCCAGGTCTTTCTGCCTGAGTTGACACTAATATTCTGAGTGAGAAGGGTCTGTTGCTCCTTTGAGCAGAGCACCAGGCCTGGAGTTGGGAAACATTTGATCTTGTTCAAAGGGGCTGTCTCTGAAGCATGAAGATTGAACTGATTGTGACCCCACCCTGGGGGATGGAGAAGCTCCAGAGAGTCAGGAGGACAAGCTAGCCAGTTACTAATCCCATTGGCCTGTGGGTCTTCAGAGTCTCATATCCATCTAAAGTAGAGAGAATTGGGGTTGAAGGCAATAAAGAAGGCCTTAAATGAGAGGAGCAGGGGGTCATTTCATCTAATTTTGTGGTTGTTACTGAGGAATAAAAGGCAAAGGAGATAATTTCATTAGCCCTGGTGAGATCTTTATCACAGGGAGATGGCATCTTGGGAGGCAGCAAGGATTCACAGGACTGTTCTTTCCTTTGTGGTAAACCTACAGCTAGCTCCCCATAGAGCTGGGAGAGGACTCTGGAGCCACAGGACCCTGCTGGGCATTATGGTCAGGAACTATAGTTGCTCCTGTCCTAATTAAGAAGCTGGTGGCTGGAAGTCCTGAAGAATCACTGTCAGCTCCTCAGGAACTGTCCTCGAGCTGAAATAAAGAAACCTATCAGCCAAGCCAACTCATGTAGAATTGCAATGTCGTTTACCTCTGAGGGAGGCTTGCTAGGCATCTGTTGCTCACTTGATTTGTTCAGAGCCTCACGTTCCTTTGAGCTGAGTGTTGTTGGACACCTCTCATGTGGTAGAGATTGAGACCAAGCAGTGCCTTCTGTTTGATGAGTGCTGCTCTGTTCATAGTGTCTGTTCACATCTGCTGCTCTCACAAGCCTGCTAGGTAGACAGGTATTCCTATCCCAGTAGGCAGAGAGGGGAGTGAAGCAGACAGGTTATGTTGTTTTAAGGTCTCACAGTAGGAAAGTGGAGGCATCTCAGTTACATCTCTGGACT